TTTAATTGACTCATAGTCTCAACTATTGAAATGTATTCACCTTATCATAACGACCAATGGATAATGCTGCATAGTTTTAATTCAACTCGGTTAATCCCTAGATATAATTTATACATGAATTTTATGTCTTGCTTAGTTTGCATTCGATTTCTGTAATACTTTCATGTATTACTAGATAAATGTTAGTAGTAATGAAAATCATAAATTCTATTTCTCATCAAACTATATCACATTTAAATGTGTAATGTAAGATGTTTCTTCTTTTATTTTTCATTAAAAAGTGTAAAGATGTTGTCAAACATTAGATAAGTAGACTTGAATGCTTATGTTTCTTTGACATTATAAGATCTCTTGACTGAATATCTTAACTGACTTATAAACAAACCTAATAATTGATTTGTGTATTGATGAAGCCTTAAAGATTCATCGAAAAGATCTTATGGTGATATTTTTATTCTTGTTAATGACGTAATCAGATTAACAGATAGGTGAATTATTTAATGTCAAATTTTGATAAAATTTTGGAAACACCCAGAAATTTCATTATTTGTTGAAGGCTGTCAGTGAAGGCAATCCCTTGAGAAAAATAAATATTTACAAATTACCATTCTGGAACAGTACTGCAATATGATATAATTTACAAGTTGGTTGGTGTAAACTACCTGATTACAATCCGGGAGATGGTATCAACCAATGGTTAGAGACCTTGAATGACATGGCTGAAAATCGTTCGCAATGGAGTACGTGCATCCACTCTTTGTGTTCTCCCAAATTCTTCTGAATTCTTCATGTCCCTTTCTTTTTTTTCACTTTCGAAATTTATTACACTAAATTAAACTCTTTGAATAACATCTTCAAACCCTAATCTTTCCGATTATTGCTTATACTCTTACTACCTCTACAACTATGGGACTTGAATCGACAACTGCATCTGTGTACTAATGTGGTGTGGCAACTCGAACTGATGTACTTACGTACGAGGTTTTACGTTGTTACTGAATGACAAGTTGAAGAGTTTAAATTTCAAGGATTTCTAGAATGTTTAAGGTAAAAGAAACAAACATAGGAGAAGTTCATCATTGAGAATAAAGAGTAATATGAGCACGATAAAAGTTACATACTCAAAAGTTTATAAAATAACCTCTGTTTAGACATGAGTCAAACCGATTATTTTGTTTTTGTCATGATTAGTTCAATTGTACAATCAACATATTTAAACGGTTATTAGTATTTTTGATTAAATTTAACTTCATTAAACTTATATATATTTTTCTTCTAAAATACTTTCAGATGGGATAAAATTCTTAATGAACTAGACAATCATATCCCAACAATATTAGATCAAATTTGGGAGTTAATGAATCAATGGTGTCACAATGAAAAAGGCTTTTTAAATATAACATCTTATAAGAATGCATTTTGTCAACAAAGTATTAAAAACTCTTTAGCTTTGATGTCTGAACTTTTGAACAAATACTTTCCAAGAGAATTATGGGAATTACGTAAAGATGGCATAAAACCATGTAAGTTGTGATAACCTTTTTTAAGGCATCTGTTCATAATGTTTAAATAAAATATCTTTCTTATTTTTAACTGGTTTGTGACAATAAGGAAGGTAAATAGAAGATCAAAATAAAGAGAATGAGAACAAAGAATAATTGGTGAGGAGAAACGATGGGAAAATGAAGTTTGAGACGATTGACTGATATTTGCAAAAGGAACAGTCAAGTTTGATACAATTGATTGATATTTTGCAAGTTGTTCCGTAATTTTGTATTCAAATACATTTGGTTGTCCCCACTTGTGATCTCGTTCACTATACCATAATAAAACATTTGTGACAATCAATGTTACTGAAAACAAGCGCTAGGGTAAAATCTGGAAAGAGAAGTTATTCAAGTCAATTTTTTAAAGAATTCTGAGATTTATTCTGTTTTATATTCTTGGTAACCATCGCTTTATGAAAAACAAGATTTTTTTCATTAAAGGATGAAGTATTTAACACAATCGTTCCTTCTTAAACTAGAACAAGGCTTGAACATCTCCATACATTCAATTACAGTATAAAATATCCCAGAAATTTCCAGACTTTAAACTTGGGGAGTTCGTAAATTACTTGCAGTTTCTCGAACTATTTATCTAGTAAGGTGATGTAGTTGACAGACAGACAGCCGAACGTCTTCTTTCAGTTCATCATGGGATGCCAGATGACAGATCAGATAATAAGAATGATCAATGTAGAAGTGCGAAATGGAAAAGAGTTGCCTCACACTCCTTTACATTAAAATAAAGTGGTTTGAACTTAGTTTTGGTATTAACTTTTGTTTTATCATTTTTCTCAAATTTTATGATTCTACATAAAACAGCTGTCGATATAGATTTTTAAGAAGAAAGGAATATACCCTCCAGAATTTCTTCATAACATAAAAATCATAGGCAATCGATGTAAGACTGCAATAAATAGACGACTGTTGAACAACGTTAAAATGATCTTAGAATGTCCACCTACTTACGAGTATTAATTTAGGGTTATAGATTAATATGAGGAATGATGAGAAAGATTTACAGTTGGACGCTAAGGTTAGTAATTAGATTTAATGTTTACATCACGAACCGACATCAGTTATAATGCCCAAATGGTATTTAATCAAATGAGTAAATGTATTCAGTCCAATTGTGGTGTGTGCTACTGATGTCGATAGATATAAGTAGTATGCATCATCGATCGACAGTAAAATGCCTAGCAAAGAGCGATTGGTTTGGAAACGAAAGGACAATGAAGCCTTTGACGATTGATCGACATTTTGCAAATGAAGTATTTACTGTGTGGTACTCAGATTTTACTAAGATGTTCTGTCATTTAGTGTTCAAATCCATTCGATTGTCCCTACTTGTGTTCTTGTTCATTATAAAATCAATTCATTAATTGAAAAACTGACAATAAATAAACATACTTCATAAATAAAATAATATAATTCAATAAATATAAGTTCTGCTCATTGTACTTACTTACTTACGCCTGTTACTCCCAATTGAGCATAGGCCGCCCACCAGCATTCTCCAACCCACTCTGTCCTGGGCCTTCTTTTCTAGTTCCATCCAATTCTTGTTCATTTTTCTCATGTCTATCTCCATTTCCCCGCGTAATGTGTACTTTGGTCTTCCTCTTTTCCTTTGGCCTTGAGGATTACATGTGGGGGCTTGTCTTGTAACGCAGTTGGGTGATTTCTTCAATGTGTGTCCTATCCACTTCCAGCGCTTCTTCCTGATTTCTTCCTCCGCTGAGATCTGGTTTGTTCTCTCCCACAGTACGTTGTTGCTAGTAGTGTCGGGCCAACGGCTCCGAAGTATTTTGCGTAGACAACTGTTAATAAACACCTGCATCTTCTGGATGATGGCTTTCGTAGTTCTCCAGGTTTCTGCCGCATACAGTAGAACTGTTTTGACATTTGTATTGAAAATCCTGACCTTGGTGTTGGTTGACAGTTGCTTTGAGTTCCAGATGTTCCTCAGTCGTAAATATGCTGCCCTTGCTTTGCCGATCCGCGCTTTCACATCTGCATCAGATCCACCCTGTTCATCAATGATGCTGCCCAAATATGTAAAGGTTTTTACATCTTCCAAATCTTCTCCGTCAATTGTGATTGGATTGGTGCATTCTGTGTTGTATCGGAGAATCCTGCTTTTCCCTTTGTATATATTGAGACCTACTGCTGCTGAGGCTGCTGCCACACTGTTCTTCTTCTCCTGCATTTGTTGTTGCGTTTGGAATAGAAGGGCCAGATCATCTGCGAAGTCTAGATCATCCAACTTCATCCTAGATGTCCATTGTATCCCGTGCTTCCCTTCAGACGTTGACATCTTCATGATCCAGTCGATCACCAGGAGAAAGAGAAAGGGTGAGAGTAAGCAACCTTGTCTAACACCGGTCTTCACTTCGAACGACTTTGTCAACTGTCCTCCATGCACGATTTTGCAGTGTAATCCATCATATGAGTTCTGTATGATACTGACTATCTTCTGAGGCACGCCGTAGTGTCGAAGAAGTTTCCATGGTGTTGTTCTGTCCACGCTATCAAATGCCTTTTCGTAGTCAATGAAGTTGATGTACTAGGTTGTATACATTTTCCTACTGACTAGACCTTTAAACCGTTACCAATTCATGGAGATCTTACCATTCTAGGTTTGTAAACATTGTTGAGTTTGTTATTTACTTCCATAGAAGTATTTCGATTTGTGATTACATGATTTCGCGCATAACTCGATCATTGAGGTCTGAATACTCAATGGATGCAATAACTAACTAACTAACCTAAAGTTTGAGTTTTATTTATTCATACTTCACACATGTATAATAAATGAAATCACTCTTACTATAGTAAACAAATTCATTTCTTTATTTTTAATTCAGCATCTATTTATCAATCAAATCTTACATTAATTGATTATTATTGGTCCGAATGGCGAAACATTGAAGAACAACCAGTATTTTATGAAATCTTGATAAGAAATTTATTTTTATTCTCATTTATTTGGGGTATTGGTGGTGGATTAGCCGGTGATCCAAGATTAAAATCACGGTAAAATAATTTAGTTATTCTATCGTATATTTTTTTAGTAAATCATTCAAATTCTGTTAACGTATGCCACCTGTGTCGTAGATGAGATATTCGTCTTTCAAATAAACGATGAGTGTATTGCTCAGCAGTTCAATCTGTCCAAATTTACAGGTATGATACTTGGATATTAAGAACGGATGATATTTTAGGTTACTTATATTCGATGATTGGTGTCTTCGAAATACTGTTCATGAATTTTGGCCGACACGCCCAACTAATTCACACCCTATCATTAGTTCAGGTGTCGATACAACCCAATCCTGAAGTGAGATTTTGCATTTTGAGGAGGAGAATCGCATCCCGAACATGCTTGCATTGTTGCTCATAGTGGTCAAAAGACTGCATTTTGTTAGCGTCTTCACCAAATAGAGCTATGTCATTGGCATGTTTTAAGTCAACAAGTGGATCTCCTGGTATAAGTTCAACCCTTGGAAATTTAGATGAGGAATGTGTTATCTCTAAAAGTACGTCATTGACAAAGTTGAACAAGAATGGGAGAGTGGACAGCCCTGACGAACACCACTTGAGGTAATGAATTCTGATGACAGTTCGCTCTCACTCTACCAGTTATGTTGGAGTAGAGAGCCTTTACAAGGTTAATGTACTTCTTTGATACTCCTTTCAGTGACAAACACTGCCATAGAACCTTACGATCAACAGAGTCGAATGCTGCTTTAAGGTCGAGAAATACTACGATTGTGAGGCGTCTGAACGTGTGTCTATGTTCTAAGACCTGACGTAGTATGAATATTGTGACGATGGACCACCGGTGAACTCGAGGAAGCTGTAAGAGGCTCATAAGGAGCCGAAGACGTTCCATCCAATCACCTGTCGGAAGAATGTTCTAGAATTCCAACGTGTAGCTTCCCCATTGGATAATGCTAATAACCCCTGTACGCGGATTGGAAGATTGTAATGATGATTTCGTTCCCACTAAAAACTATAAATACCTGATAATTTTGTACTATGTTTGACACTGTTTGGAATAATATTCCTTTCGTTAGTCTTCTGTCTTCTTATTGCGACTTGGAAGGGTTTGGTGTTCCAGTGCTCAGTTATACGCGGTTGTATCAAGAAAATCAGCTTTTTCAAGATATAACATCTGGCGACGGGTTATTGTATCAATATGTCATTTACCTTGGAACAATTTGAAGCCTTATTGGAACGTCAAGAAAAGTTCCAGATGCGCATGCTAGAGATGCTAACTCAGAAAATGAACCTGGATCAAAAAGAAGTTACAGATGATCCCTTCAAATCTCATGTTGACCAGATTGTTAATTCTATCCATGAATTTAATTTTGATGGTTCAGCTGGCATTACTTTTGAAACTTGGTTCAAGAAATATGAAGATTTGTTCAAGGTCGACCTCAAAAAACTTGATGACGCCGCTAAGGTCAGAATACTCTTGCGAAAACTTGGAACTGTTGAACATGAACGTTACAGTAACTTTATCCTTCCAAAGAATCCAAGAGATTTTTCTTTCGATGCAACGATTGAAATTTTGTCGCAAATCTTTGCTGAACAGTCATCCTTGTTTAATATTCGTTATCAATGTCTCAAGATGACAAAAGCAGGTGATGATGACTGGGTGAAGCATGCGGGTCTAGTAAACCGTGAATGTGAGCGCTTCAAACTATCAGCAATGACAGAAGACCAGTTTAAGTGTCTCGTATTTGTGTGCAGCCTCCAATCTCCCGAAGATGCCGATATTAGAACTAGAATTTTGAGTAAAATTGAACAATGTCCGAATATGACACTACAAGAAGTAACCGCAGAGTGCCAGAGATTGGTAAACCTAAAGCATGACACTTCGATGGTCGAAAATAATGGCCAGTTGCCATACGTTCGTGCTGTAAGCGGAAAGAACGATTCTCGCTCAAGAAAGGTATCGCACACAGATAATCAGCCTTCATCTCCATGTTGGTCTTGCGGTGGTTGGCATTATAAAAGGTTCTGCCCATATAAAGAACATTGTTGTAGCAAGTGTCATCGCAAGGGACATAAAGAAAACTGCTGCAGAAAAAGAACCCATAAACGACATTCTTTGAAACCCTACTCGAAGAAATACAGATTTAGTGCTCGAACTAACAAAATATTGGTATCACATAATCGAGCACGATTTTGCCGCCAAAGAAAGTATGTAACTTGGATATAAATAAAAAGCGTGCCCGCCTGCAACTCGACACCGCTTCTGACATCACACTTATTAGTCGGAGAACTTGGAATCTTATCGGTAAACCACAGGTGCTCCCAACGACCCAGTTAGCTCACAGCGCATCTGGAGGAAAACTAAATATTGTTGGAGAGGTTTGTTGTACAGTCTCGAAAGGAAATGCGAAAACGAATGCAACTTTATATCTTACACAGAATCCAGGACTAGATTTGCTAGGTCTAGACTTGATAGAAGCACTTCAATTAGCAAATCACCCCATTAACCACATATGCAGCGCAGTGAGAACCAGTAAACCGGTGGAAAAGGATCTGAAGAGTGTTGTATTGGAAAGACACAGTCAAGTGTTTATGGAAGAGTTGGGGGAATGCAAAAAGGTTAAAGCACTATTGATTCTTAAACCGGGAGTCACCCCCGTCTTCAGACCAAAACGTCCGGTACCTTATGCAGCGCTACCTATTGTTGAACAAGAATTAGAGCGTCTGCAAAGAAGTGGAATAATCGAACCAGTAAACTTCTCTGATTGGGCAGCTCCAATAGTGATTGTTAAAAAGCCTAATGGAAGTATCCGGTTATGTGCAGATTATTCAACTGGATTAAATGAAGCGCTTGAAGCCCATCAATACCCATTGCCGGTACCAGAGGATTTATTTGCGAAACTGAATGGGGGTAAGTATTTTGCGAAATTAGACCTATCAGACGCTTATCTACAGATTCCGGTAGCGGATGAGTGTAAGCATTACTTGACAATAAACACTCACAAGGGATTGTTCCGATATAACCGACTTCCTTTTGGAGTAAAGACCGCCCCTTCAATCTTCCAACAAGTTATGGACACTATGTTACAAGACATTCCTGGTACCGCGGCTTATCTCGATGATATATTGATCATGGGTACAGACTATGCTGATTTAGAGAATAAGGTGGATACGGTTCTCAGACGCATAGCAGATTATGGATTCAGGCTGCGTGCCGAAAAATGTGATTTTTACATGGAGCAAGTCCGGTATTTGGGATTCATAATTGATAAAAACGGGAGAAAACCTGATCCTGAAAATGTCGAAGCCATTAAGTCCATGCCTCCACCCACGGATGTGTCAACTTTACGTTCTTTCCTGGGAATGGTTAGTCATTATGGAGTTTTTCTGCCAGATCTGCATCGCCATCGTGCTCCTCTTAATTGCTTATTGAAAAAGGATACTAAATGGTTCTGGTCAACTGAATGTCAAGAAGCATTCCTAAAACTGAAGCAGCTTCTGTCATCGAACCTTCTCCTTACACACTATGATCCCGATCTTCCAATTATAGTCGCAGCCGATGCGTCGAACTACGGAATTGGAGCAGTAATTTCACATGCCTACCCTGACGGTTCTGAGAAAGCAATCGCTCACGCTGCGAGATCACTGACTATGACTGAAAGAAACTACAGTCAAATAGAGAAGGAAGCCCTCGCGATTATATTTGCTGTAAAAAAGTTCCACAAGATGTTGTTTGGTAGGCAGTTCACCTTACTTACAGACCATAAACCTTTACTGACAGTTTTTGGATCTAAAAAAGGCATCCCGGTATATACAGCAAACCGGCTACAGAGATGGGCTACCACACTGCTGGGTTATGATTTTAAGATAAAGTATCAACCAACAACGGATTTCGGACAGGCAGATGCACTCTCAAGATTGATTGGTCTGCATGAAAAACAAGAAGAAGAGGTGCTTGTAGCTGCTATAGATGTCGAGGCCGAGGTTCACAAAATATTGTCAGACGCAGTTTCCGGACTCCCGGTCACATTTGAAGCCATTAAAGAGGCCAGCAAGAAGGATAATGTATTAAAGATTGTTCGCCATTGCATACTCAATAAATGGCCTTCATCTAGATTACACGGAGAACTCTTACAATACTTTCGTCGACGAGAGTCATTAACAGTTGTCGATTCATGTATAATGTTTGGCCATCGTATCGTTATCCCCAGAAATCTTCGACACCAAGCCATTAAACAGTTCCACAGCGGGCATCCAGGGATAAGTAAAATGAAGTCACTAGCTCGTAGCTATGCTTACTGGCCGTCAATGGACCATGAGATAGAGCAAAAATGTCGCAGCTGTTGGTCTTGTCAAGAGGCTGCAAAGAACCCAACGAGAGCTGAGCCACAACCATGGCCTAAACCGGACGGGCCTTGGCAAAGAATACATGCTGATTTCGCCGGACCGATACAAGGCAGGAATTACTTAGTTGTTGTAGATGCTTTCACAAAATGGCCGGAAGTTTATGACATGCCGAATACGACTTCAGAGAGTACCATAAGAAGATTGTCAGGATTGTTTGCCTGTTTTGGGGTTCCAGAGATCTTAGTGACCGACAATGGTACTCAGTTCATGTCATCCGCCTTCAAACGCTTCTGCAACGAGAATGGCATATTGCATCTACAATCTCCTCCATACCATCCTCAGTCGAATGGCCAGGCAGAAAGATTCGTGGATACAATTAAAAGAGCTCTGGTCAAAGGGGGAGGTGAGGGTGTCCCGGAACAAGTGATTAATAAGTTCTTGATGTCTTACAGAGTTACCCCTAATCCGGCAGTACCAGAAGGAAAGTCTCCGGCCGAGTGTATGTTCGGAAGAAAAATCCGGACAGTTTTTAACAGTATGTTGCCGCCCAGAAAGACAAATAAACCCACGAATGAAAATCGTAAGGTCAATCGTAGCTTCCAGGTGGGTGAGAAGGTACTTGTCAGATCGTACCAAGGTAATAAGAAGTGGGAACCAGGTGTCATAGAACGTCGAATCGGAAATGTGTTGTACCTAGTTCGGAAAGATGTCGGGAAATGCATAAGACATATAAATCAAATGCAAAGAAATGATAGTACAGTGGTCACAGAAAACCGGCTTCCATTTCAATTGCTCGTAGATTCATCCCCGAAGAACCATCATGAGCGCAAATATCGAAAAGACAAACGACGCAGAGAGAAAGCTGTACAACCCTCGAGAGTAATGGAGCGCAAGAGGAATGCGACACCCAAGCTTCAGGTGGATCCAAGAAAAAAATCTTACACAACGGACTTTAAAGGGGGGAGGTGTGACGACGGACCACCGGTGAACTCGAGGAAGCTGTAAGAGGCTCATAAGGAGCCGAAGACGTTCCATCCAATCACCTGTCGGAAGAATGTTCTAGAATTCCAACGTGTAGCTTCCCCATTGGATAATGCTAATAACCCTCTGTACGCGGATTGGAAGATTGTAATGATGATTTCGTTCCCACTAAAAACTATAAATACCTGATAATTTTGTACTATGTTTGACACTGTTTGGAATAATATTCCTTTCGTTAGTCTTCTGTCTTCTTATTGCGACTTGGAAGGGTTTGGTGTTCCAGTGCTCAGTTATACGCGGTTGTATCAAGAAAATCAGCTTTTTCAAGATATAACATCTGGCGACGGGTTATTGTATCAATATGTCATTTACCTTGGAACAATTTGAAGCCTTATTGGAACGTCAAGAAAAGTTCCAGATGCGCATGCTAGAGATGCTAACTCAGAAAATGAACCTGGATCAAAAAGAAGTTACAGATGATCCCTTCAAATCTCATGTTGACCAGATTGTTAATTCTATCCATGAATTTAATTTTGATGGTTCAGCTGGCATTACTTTTGAAACTTGGTTCAAGAAATATGAAGATTTGTTCAAGGTCGACCTCAAAAAACTTGATGACGCCGCTAAGGTCAGAATACTCTTGCGAAAACTTGGAACTGTTGAACATGAACGTTACAGTAACTTTATCCTTCCAAAGAATCCAAGAGATTTTTCTTTCGATGCAACGATTGAAATTTTGTCGCAAATCTTTGCTGAACAGTCATCCTTGTTTAATATTCGTTATCAATGTCTCAAGATGACAAAAGCAGGTGATGATGACTGGGTGAAGCATGCGGGTCTAGTAAACCGTGAATGTGAGCGCTTCAAACTATCAGCAATGACAGAAGACCAGTTTAAGTGTCTCGTATTTGTGTGCAGCCTCCAATCTCCCGAAGATGCCGATATTAGAACTAGAATTTTGAGTAAAATTGAACAATGTCCGAATATGACACTACAAGAAGTAACCGCAGAGTGCCAGAGATTGGTAAACCTAAAGCATGACACTTCGATGGTCGAAAATAATGGCCAGTTGCCATACGTTCGTGCTGTAAGCGGAAAGAACGATTCTCGCTCAAGAAAGGTATCGCACACAGATAATCAGCCTTCATCTCCATGTTGGTCTTGCGGTGGTTGGCATTATAAAAGGTTCTGCCCATATAAAGAACATTGTTGTAGCAAGTGTCATCGCAAGGGACATAAAGAAAACTGCTGCAGAAAAAGAACCCATAAACGACATTCTTTGAAACCCTACTCGAAGAAATACAGATTTAGTGCTCGAACTAACAAAATATTGGTATCACATAATCGAGCACGATTTTGCCGCCAAAGAAAGTATGTTAACTTGGATATAAATAAAAAGCGTGCCCGCCTGCAACTCGACACCGCTTCTGACATCACACTTATTAGTCGGAGAACTTGGAATCTTATCGGTAAACCACAGGTGCTCCCAACAACCCAGTTAGCTCACAGCGCATCTGGAGGAAAACTAAATATTGTTGGAGAGGTTTGTTGTACAGTCTCGAAAGGAAATGCGAAAACGAATGCAACTTTATATCTTACACAGAATCCAGGACTAGATTTGCTAGGTCTAGACTTGATAGAAGCACTTCAATTAGCAAATCACCCCATTAACCACATATGCAGCGCAGTGAGAACCAGTAAACCGGTGGAAAAGGATCTGAAGAGTGTTGTATTGGAAAGACACAGTCAAGTGTTTATGGAAGAGTTGGGGGAATGCAAAAAGGTTAAAGCACTATTGATTCTTAAACCGGGAGTCACCCCCGTCTTCAGACCAAAACGTCCGGTACCTTATGCAGCGCTACCTATTGTTGAACAAGAATTAGAGCGTCTGCAAAGAAGTGGAATAATCGAACCAGTAAACTTCTCTGATTGGGCAGCTCCAATAGTGATTGTTAAAAAGCCTAATGGAAGTATCCGGTTATGTGCAGATTATTCAACTGGATTAAATGAAGCGCTTGAAGCCCATCAATACCCATTGCCGGTACCAGAGGATTTATTTGCGAAACTGAATGGGGGTAAGTATTTTGCGAAATTAGACCTATCAGACGCTTATCTACAGATTCCGGTAGCGGATGAGTGTAAGCATTACTTGACAATAAACACTCACAAGGGATTGTTCCGATATAACCGACTTCCTTTTGGAGTAAAGACCGCCCCTTCAATCTTCCAACAAGTTATGGACACTATGTTACAAGACATTCCTGGTACCGCGGCTTATCTCGATGATATATTGATCATGGGTACAGACTATGCTGATTTAGAGAATAAGGTGGATACGGTTCTCAGACGCATAGCAGATTATGGATTCAGGCTGCGTGCCGAAAAATGTGATTTTTACATGGAGCAAGTCCGGTATTTGGGATTCATAATTGATAAAAACGGGAGAAAACCTGATCCTGAAAATGTCGAAGCCATTAAGTCCATGCCTCCACCCACGGATGTGTCAACTTTACGTTCTTTCCTGGGAATGGTTAGTCATTATGGAGTTTTTCTGCCAGATCTGCATCGCCATCGTGCTCCTCTTAATTGCTTATTGAAAAAGGATACTAAATGGTTCTGGTCAACTGAATGTCAAGAAGCATTCCTAAAACTGAAGCAGCTTCTGTCATCGAACCTTCTCCTTACACACTATGATCCCGATCTTCCAATTATAGTCGCAGCCGATGCGTCGAACTACGGAATTGGAGCAGTAATTTCACATGCCTACCCTGACGGTTCTGAGAAAGCAATCGCTCACGCTGCGAGATCACTGACTATGACTGAAAGAAACTACAGTCAAATAGAGAAGGAAGCCCTCGCGATTATATTTGCTGTAAAAAAGTTCCACAAGATGTTGTTTGGTAGGCAGTTCACCTTACTTACAGACCATAAACCTTTACTGACAGTTTTTGGATCTAAAAAAGGCATCCCGGTATATACAGCAAACCGGCTACAGAGATGGGCTACCACACTGCTGGGTTATGATTTTAAGATAAAGTATCAACCAACAACGGATTTCGGACAGGCAGATGCACTCTCAAGATTGATTGGTCTGCATGAAAAACAAGAAGAAGAGGTGCTTGTAGCTGCTATAGATGTCGAGGCCGAGGTTCACAAAATATTGTCAGACGCAGTTTCCGGACTCCCGGTCACATTTGAAGCCATTAAAGAGGCCAGCAAGAAGGATAATGTATTAAAGATTGTTCGCCATTGCATACTCAATAAATGGCCTTCATCTAGATTACACGGAGAACTCTTACAATACTTTCGTCGACGAGAGTCATTAACAGTTGTCGATTCATGTATAATGTTTGGCCATCGTATCGTTATCCCCAGAAATCTTCGACACCAAGCCATTAAACAGTTCCACAGCGGGCATCCAGGGATAAGTAAAATGAAGTCACTAGCTCGTAGCTATGCTTACTGGCCGTCAATGGACCATGAGATAGAGCAAAAATGTCGCAGCTGTTGGTCTTGTCAAGAGGCTGCAAAGAACCCAACGAGAGCTGAGCCACAACCATGGCCTAAACCGGACGGGCCTTGGCAAAGAATACATGCTGATTTCGCCGGACCGATACAAGGCAGGAATTACTTAGTTGTTGTAGATGCTTTCACAAAATGGCCGGAAGTTTATGACATGCCGAATACGACTTCAGAGAGTACCATAAGAAGATTGTCAGGATTGTTTGCCTGTTTTGGGGTTCCAGAGATCTTAGTGACCGACAATGGTACTCAGTTCATGTCATCCGCCTTCAAACGCTTCTGCAACGAGAATGGCATATTGCATCTACAATCTCCTCCATACCATCCTCAGTCGAATGGCCAGGCAGAAAGATTCGTGGATACAATTAAAAGAGCTCTGGTCAAAGGGGGAGGTGAGGGTGTCCCGGAACAAGTGATTAATAAGTTCTTGATGTCTTACAGAGTTACCCCTAATCCGGCAGTACCAGAAGGAAAGTCTCCGGCCGAGTGTATGTTCGGAAGAAAAATCCGGACAGTTTTTAACAGTATGTTGCCGCCCAGAAAGACAAATAAACCCACGAATGAAAATCGTAAGGTCAATCGTAGCTTCCAGGTGGGTGAGAAGGTACTTGTCAGATCGTACCAAGGTAATAAGAAGTGGGAACCAGGTGTCATAGAACGTCGAATCGGAAATGTGTTGTACCTAGTTCGGAAAGATGTCGGGAAATGCATAAGACATATAAATCAAATGCAAAGAAATGATAGTACAGTGGTCACAGAAAACCGGCTTCCATTTCAATTGTTCGTAGATTCATCCCCGAAGAACCATCATGAGCGCAAATATCGAAAAGACAAACGACGCAGAGAGAAAGCTGTACAACCCTCGAGAGTAATGGAGCGCAAGAGGAATGCGACACCCAAGCTTCAGGTGGATCCAAGAAAAAAAACTTACACAACGGACTTTAAAGGGGGGAGGTGTGACGACGGACCACCGGTGAACTCGAGGAAGCTGTAAGAGGCTCATAAGGAGCCGAAGACGTTCCATCCAATCACCTGTCGGAAGAATGTTCTAGAATTCCAACGTGTAGCTTCCCCATTGGATAATGCTAATAACCCTCTGTACGCGGATTGGAAGATTGTAATGATGATTTCGTTCCCACTAAAAACTATAAATACCTGATAATTTTGTACTATGTTTGACACTGTTTGGAATAATATTCCTTTCGTTAGTCTTCTGTCTTCTTATTGCGACTTGGAAGGGTTTGGTGTTCCAGTGCTCAGTTATACGCGGTTGTATCAAGAAAATCAGCTTTTTCAAGATATAACATCTGGCGACGGGTTATTGTATCAATATGTCATTTACCTTGGAACAATTTGAAGCCTTATTGGAACGTCAAGAAAAGTTCCAGATGCGCATGCTAGAGATGCTAACTCAGAAAATGAACCTGGATCAAAAAGAAGTTACAGATGATCCCTTCAAATCTCATGTTGACCAGATTGTTAATTCTATCCATGAATTTAATTTTGATGGTTCAGCTGGCATTACTTTTGAAACTTGGTTCAAGAAATATGAAGATTTGTTCAAGGTCGACCTCAAAAAACTTGATGACGCCGCTAAGGTCAGAATACTCTTGCGAAAACTTGGAACTGTTGAACATGAACGTTACAGTAACTTTATCCTTCCAAAGAATCCAAGAGATTTTTCTTTCGATGCAACGATTGAAATTTTGTCGCAAATCTTTGCTGAACAGTCATCCTTGTTTAATATTCGTTATCAATGTCTCAAGATGACAAAAGCAGGTGATGATGACTGGGTGAAGCATGCGGGTCTAGTAAACCGTGAATGTGAGCGCTTCAAACTATCAGCAATGACAGAAGACCAGTTTA